GTGTGCGGTGCATCTGTGTGTGTGTGTCTGTGTGTGTGTGTGTGTGTGTGTGTGCGGTGCATCTGTGTGTGTGTGTCTGTGTGTGTGTGTGTGTATGTGTGTGTGCGGTGCGTCTGTGTGTGTGTGTGTTACATTGCCTAACCACTATCTGACAGTAAACACGCCAGGGACTCATTTCAGAAAGCAGAGGCGTTTGCCCGACCCGAAACGAACAAGGGAACCTCCCCTAATTAACATTGATAAATGAAGCAACGTTAATAAGCAAAGTAAACACTAACATTTCATGGCAAAAAACTAACATATGGAACTGCTCACATTCAAACTGTATTTTTCGCACATTTCGCAAAGTAGGGTATTTTAATTTTTTCCGACAATAATGCTTAAACAACAGCAAGATCTCAAAATATTTTAAAATACATCTCCTACTCGACTCTGAAATGTACTCGACTTTTCAAGTGAAATGTTTTTTTTTCTGATTTTTTTTCTCTGCCTGTGCAGTTCTTATGAACACAAGATCCTTAAACGTCCAATCACATGTTCAGCCAGTGTCTATAACCAAGGTGTAGATAACGTTAGTCATCTACACAGTGGAGATTTTGCTCTGGATATTTGGGTTCTGCATATGACTATTGCAGGGTCCCATCTGGGAATGGAACCGCCAACATTGTTGTCACATGACCCTTCGATAGCGAATGAGGGACTGTACACTTGTGAAAACCTGTGGTCACGGAATACATTCTCAGAGTGTTTACGCTCAATGCTCCCAAGACATAAATTTAGCCGTTCGGCGGCTTCCCAATTGGCTGCGTGCTGTAAACACTCACGGACTGCGTGTCGAACCCTCGCGTCCCCCCCCCCTAGACTGACGGTGCTCGTACCTGCTTAGTGCAGCCTTTCAAACTCAACGGGGCATTCGGAGAACCTAGCAGAGCACATTATGTGAGGAATAGGCTAATTGATGCAGGACTGCGGCAGGGACATGGCGTCCTGTTTTAGCGCCGCACACTTTGAGTGCCGCTGGAGCGGTTAGCAGCGTATGGGGTTCATCTGAGTCTGCTTCCGTTGATTAACGGGAACATGTGAATGGCAGGCGTTTGGGGCGAGAATTAGGAGCCCCTTGTGAATCTGGCACAAAGCCGAATGTGCAAGAGCACGACGACACATGCAGAAAAAACCATGCACACGCTTACACACACACACACACACACACACACACAGACACATACACGCAGACATACACGCAAAAATGGATACACACAGATACAAACAAAAAAAAACACATACATGCACACACAGACAATCACATGCAAACTGACACATGGATACTCACAGAGTCTGTGACGCATACACACGCAAAGATACACCTGAACACACATACGCATGCAGACAGAAAGACACACAGACGCACACGTTCAAAGCAGACGTGCAAACAGATGCACGCAGACACACAGATAGATGCATGCAGACACAGAGACAGACTCACATAGGTATGCAGACACATAGACAGATGCATGCAAGCACGCGGACAGACACGCAGACACACAGACAGATGCATGCAGACACAGAGACAGATGCACGCAGACACACACACAGATGCACACAGACACGCAGATGCACAGACAGATGTACACAGGCCTACAGACACACAGACAGACGCATGCAGGCACGCAGACAGACACACACAGAGAAACGCACGCAGGCAGACAGACACACGCAGACACACAGACAGATGCATGCAGACACATGCGCCCACAGACACCCACCCACAGATCAGGTGAGCCTGGTTTCCACACCGTGTCTCACACGTTTCTGTTTAGTGATGTCGTCCCTCCAGGATCTTACTTCCTCCCGGCTAAATGGCAGCTCTGCGTACATCTGGCCCTGCGCTTATTAATTACTCCTCAGAGTGTGCTTAAAACCCAGGGGGGGGGAGGGGGGGTAGGCTAAGGCACATGGCCAGGAAAAGAGCCTGTCACAAGGGACCAGTCTTCTTTTTTGATGGGGGGTCGACTTTGCATACATATGGACCAGGCCACTAAGACCACCTCAGCAGATTTATTTCTTGGGGTGGGGTGGGGTGGGGGGGTAGGCATTCATAAATATCCGATTTTCAGCCAGGATCTGAATCGACACCCCATGACGCATAAAGCTGAGGCTGCTCCGTCTGAGCAGGTTTCTGCTTTCGTGAGGCACTGATTGATCCAGCAGTCGGGAGAAACTCATACTCACATAGAGATAGCCGGCCCGGCTGACCTAACGGCGCATGTTTGGCGGAAGCCAGAGTGCCCAGCGGACCCAACACAAACTCCACACACAGAACCGGAGACAAGATCGATGTGGCCCCTGCCCTCCAGGTGGGAGACTGCGGCCAGCGCCAGTCAACCCATCAACTACCAGGGAGACATCTTCTGAGATGCCACCAATCTCAGACAGGGGGCGCCAGCGGTGAATCTTGCCTAGAGTACCACCTGGGCTTGTACCAATACTGGCTACAATCCTACCTGCAGAGCCACCCAAACAGAGGGGAAGCTTTTTCTTAAAATATATGCACCTCCTCTTCAGAAAGTAAACGAATGCTAAGAAATACAGACCTGTTTTCTCAATGGATCGGATTTGGCCAGCAGATAGGCATTAGTTTTCCAATAAATCGCTCACTGTCATCTGTTTCCCAGTGCTGAGGCCAGGTGGGGGCATTAAGGCAGAGGAAGGTAACGGCGCAGGTGCAGGTCACGGAATGTCTGAATCCCAGCGCTTCCGTTAAATAATTACCCCTGTACGAGGTCCTGCCTGAGCCTACTCTGGGATTTTAAGGCAGTTAAAGTTCAGTGGCATGAAAAATAAAGAAATAAATAAATGAGCCAATAAGAATGGAAGGAGGGAAGTATAACATGAATCGGTTTGCCGGTGCCTGGTTGCCTTTGGGCTGCTCGCATTACAGACATGCCGGGATGCGAGTTGAAAGCGTACCGGCGGGATCAGCCGTGCAAGTGCGGGCAACGCGGTGACGACAAGACTTCTGAACTCGCGGTGAACTTAGCGAGGGGCGAAACAGTAAATCATTGCGACTAATTGCTTCATTAATGATTGACTGGTCTGAACCGATCCGGGCACTTGGCCGTGGAAAGCAAAACGCTTTTATTGGTTCAAATCAGTCAAGCACTAATGAACAATTATCTCCAGCGGCTCATTACGCCCGGAGCCCCGGTTTCGCCCCAGCAGCGCATCGGCAGGTATCAGCCACGGTGGGTTTTTTTCTCCCCACCATCTTCTCGGGTACACGCTGTCCTGCGCCGACTTCAAGATTAAAAACAGGAAATATTTTTTAAATCGAATAACTTGGAAAACATCATGCTCTGTGGTAGGTCTGGATAAGCGCTATTTCAGGCACAAGATTTAATAGCTGGTCCATTGCATAAGTGTACGGTCTTTAAATATGGAGGGATGACCAGGGGGGCACTGTACCCCCACTTTCAGAAAGATAACCCCCCACTCACACACACTTATTCATAACAGATGAGGTACCTATTATATTTATAAGTACATGTAAAAAAAAATCAGTGGATTGCAATTATATATATTTAAATCTAAGTGAATGGAGAGGCGTGGGTCTTTCTATATCACAATTTATTTCCAAGTGCTCATTGAAATCGTTAAATTCTTCTTTCTTTTGACACATGTAAATTACTTTCAAATAAAAAATAAGGACAGTGGCCGTATATATATACGACGCGCGCGTGCCCGTGTGTGTGCGCAAATATAAATTCATGTGATCGTGTGACCCAGCTGCCAGTTTGCACGAATAACAAGATATGGGATGAATTCATAATAATGATGAATCCTCGTCATCGAGCACGGAGGTCTCTGTAATTATGGCTGTCTTTCTCCTGGAGGAAAAAAAAACACCACAGTGGTAGGATCATTTTATCTTAATCACTGCGCTCCTCGATTCTAATTAATTTGACAAGTTTTCCTTTTTTTTAATGGGACCACAAACCCGCAAAAAAATACCCTATTAGGTGACGTTTCCCTAAAAACCCACACGACCCTTTCCCAGCGCCTCGTCATGTGCGCGACACAAAACGGCGCACGGAGAGGGAAAGGGGAGAATAAAAGGTTAAGACGCAGCTTCCCATAGCCGCTTCCCCCCACGGAGCGCCCTAAGCCATCCCCCCTCCCAGATGCTCCTCATGTTTCTATAGTAATTTCCAGCCAATGATCGGTAGGTGTCCGCATCGCAGCTTCCTCACCTCAGCACCAATCAGCCACACACAGCGACAGGAGACGCGGACGGAGCTTAGAATCGGCGAAGCCGCACAATACAGCCCGGACCGAGGGAGGGAGCGAGCACCTATCCTGCCCGTAATTCACCTTCGGCTCCGAGGTAGATCGCCAGCCATTTCGCCCTCTCCGCGCGTCCTACTTCTTCTTCTTCCCTACTTTTTCTTTAGGCAAGAGTCGATGCGCCTTTTGTTTTGAACCGGTCCCGTGTACCTTCAGATATTCTGCGTTATTTCTCGTCCCCCCTTCCTCCTCCCCTCCGCACCATCTCACCGTGCAGTAATGTGTCGCTTTATACTGGCAGACTGGTAGCGTCTGGAGTCTCTTCTCATCAGGAGCCCGGTAGGTGACGATGCTCTTCCATTTTTCCTCCCCAACATCACATTTGCATGCTTTCTGACAGCCCGATTTTTTTTTCCTTTTTTTGCGCTAATGCCAGAGTGATTTCGGGCGCAGGCGGATTAAATTTGGTCGCTTTAATTGCGCCGTCCAGACCCCCCTCCTCGGATTTTCTGTGGTTGACCTTTGATCTGAGTGTCTCCGGCAGACCAGACGGGGAGTAATTAATGGCACCTCGGTGCAGCGGCGAAAAGGCTCGTCGGCGGACGAACAGTACTTTTCTCCTCCGCCCCACGCTAAAGTATTGAGTATTTCTGTTTCACTTAAACTTTGTTTACAGGTTGAAAATCGATGTCCGTGACTTAATTACGTATAACTCGGATATTTTCCCCAGGGATAGATTGATTAAGTAATAATGACCCCTAAAGTGGGACACTTTGTTTTTACCTTAGCGTATATATTTAGTACACATGGTAGCTGTTATTTTGTGTGCGGTAATACCTTTGTATCGTTTGCATGTGCAGATTTTTTCTCCAAATGATGCATGTATAAATGTATTTTTTATTCTCTAGTTTTCAGAGAACAATAGGTGCGATGGGAATTGTGGTGTATTCTTCCGATCAGCTGTACTTATTTTTTATTAAGTTGCTGTTTTGAGGTTTCCGATGTTCTAAAGAGGTCCGCTTATGCTTAATAGTCCACAGAGTGAGGATGGTAGTTATCAATAATATATTGTTATGGATTTCGCAGTGTACAAAGTGCGGGTTAGACTTAAAGTTAAAGTAAATAGATGTAAATTACTCAAGTGAAAGTAAGATTTATTTTTTTTGGTGTATGATGGATTGTTCTGGGGGACGGCGTGAGTCACGGAGTATTGTTTTTCTGGTTCCAGTGTACATATTTATAATTCATTTTCCAGCCAGATGCTGGTTCTTTTCCCCCTTGAAATGATTCAAAATGCTTTAGTGTTCCCGAAACGTATCGGGTTTGGCAATTAAAAAGAAGAGCCCAGAAAAAAAAGGTAATGGAAGCAGAGATGTGTCTAATGGGCTTTTATCTACGGAAACAAAATCCAGATGGACTGGAGAACGGAAATGGAGTCCCACAAGGCAGCTGACGCTACAGTTGTCGGGTCCGCGGCTCGGCACGGCTCGGCTGGAGTTCAGCAGCCGAGTCATTGAGCGAATGTGACAGAGCCGCGGGCGAACGCGTACCAGGTACGCGTTTGCGTCGGACGGGGCCGCGCTCGGGGGCGCGCCGGGCGCCGCTTTGGACGATAGCCTTGTTTGGCTGCAAGGGGTCGGCCGGCATGGTTCACCATGACTGCGATCAGCCCGTCCACCAACTTAATCTTAAAATCGCCCGGTTACCAGGAGGAGGAGGAGGAAGGCAGCGTGCGTTATCGGGGCGTCGGGTCTGTCTGCTAACTGATGTCAAAACACTTGCGTCAGTCATACAGCCAAGATGGCCTTTAAAAATAATTCTGCTGGGGAAAAAAAAAATCTGTTAACCACTTAAATGTTGCCATAGAGTTGCTGCTGATGATGTTTGTTGCTCTGTTGCTAGAAATGTTAAGGTGCCAAAGGCGCTATAAAATTGTTTCCCGATGAGCATCAGCTCAGGGGTGACATACGCTTTCATTAAACAGCAATCAGGGGGGGAAATAATGAAACGTCAGCGGATTAGTCAACGTGGTGTCTGCTTTCATGGGGGCATCTTGGTAGGGGGACATTGATCAGGGACGGGGCGTTTGCCTGTTGTAATCAGTAATTTGCTGTTTTCTCATTTTAGTACCGGAGAAGATAAACCAGGATGGTAACGTATTGTTTGTAACCAGGCGTCCGCTTCTCTAAAGGCCGTTCCCACCCCTAGACTTTCTTGACGAGCCCCCCTCCCCCGCCACCTATGACAGCCATGTCCAACATAAACAATACCCTTTGCATTGAGAATGGACAGGGTGCCGATGTGTCCCTGTTACAGAAGGACAATCTTCAGGACAGTGGATTAAGCCAACTTTTGGATTATAATGCCGAAATGGAACGGTACCGCTCTTTCGCCAACTTTTACAAAACGAACGGCGCCTTCCCGCAGACGGCTAAGATCGCCCGCATAACGACGCCCATTTTCCCCAGCGCCCGCATCGGCGTGTCCCCCTGGAACTGCGATAACGCCATGCTCTGGGGGAGGAAGTCTGCAGCGGTCGCTCCTAATAGGACCAGCATGCATAGAAATGAGTCCCAGAGGCCGGGCAAACCTGGCGTGCCGCCAGAGACGTTGCAAATGGCAAATAATAATTTCCTCTCCACCTTATCCCCCGACCACTGCAGACCTTTAGCGGGGGAATGCATGAACAAGCTGAAATGCGGCGGAGCAGCTGAAGCGGAGATAATGAATCTCCCAGAACGCGTCGGAACTTTTTCCGCAATACCGGCTTTGGGGGGCATCTCATTACCTCCCGGGGTCATCGTCATGACAGCCCTGCACTCCCCCGCAGCCTCCGCCGCCGTTACAGACAGTGCGTTTCAAATTGCCAATCTGGCAGACTGCCCGCAGAATAATTCCTCGGCGTCCAGCGGCAACCCGGCCAAGAAGAAGAGGAAAAGGTGCGGGGTGTGCGCCCCCTGCAGGCGGCTGATCAACTGCGGGGTGTGCAGCAGCTGTCGGAATCGCAAAACCGGCCACCAGATCTGCAAGTTTCGGAAATGCGAGGAGCTGAAGAAGAAGCCCGGCTCGTCGCTGGAGGTGAGCCGTGCAGCCTTTCGTGTCACACAGAGCGTTAACCTTTTATTTAGCCACGCTTAAGCCCTCGCAGCCGCATCCACGCCCAGCCCCGGTACCAGAGCACGCTTGCCTTCTGAAATCTGCCTGCCCGCCTGGCCTAATTGGCGGTAATTAGGGGCGTTTGCGCGGAGCACAAGCTGAGCTTGGCTCAGACGCCCCTAATTGCTGCCAGTCAGGCTGGTGCTGGAAGGCGTCCGAGCGGCCCTGGGCCTGGCGCCGCTCCAAGCTGAGCTGGGAAATGCTTTTCAGCAGCACTGATGCCTCTCTGCGCTCGCTCACCCATTTTAGCCAATTATGTAAACTGGCTGTGGACGG